TTCTCAAACAAACTCTGACTATTTCAAAAGTTTAATTTTTGTTCTTTTTAAATATGCTCAGAGTATAATTTTATAAATATATAAATAAATAAAGTTTTTCCTTTCAAATTTACATATTTATAAATAGTGATTCAAATATTGCATGTACATTTTAATATACTAAAATATTGCTTTCGTTTTATGAAATTATTTCACCTATTGTAAAATTTGGCATAGATTTTTTTGAGATCTAAATGTTCATGAATGTGCTATAATTAGAATTTTAATGAAAATATAACATAGCATTGTTCATTGTCAAAGCCTATTCATATCAATACAATAAAAACCTATCATATCCTAATCATTAATTTTAATATCTACTAAGTCAATGCGGCTAATACAATTAATTAACAAACTCTAATAATATAACGTCGTAATTATTTTACTATGGCATTTGAGGTTAATAAAGGCAAAGAACTATGATATAATATAGTTTTAAAAGAATTATAATTATGCAGTGCGTGTATTAAGTGGATGTAACTTTTTCTTTTTTATAAGTATGTTCAATAAGGAACTTCTTACATAGGGGGTTGGTTAACCTTTTAAAAAATTTCTAGAGTAATTATTCAAAGTCTCACATATCCTCATTTATATCCCTAGTTTGAAAAAATAGTGATGTACTTGGAAGGTAATAAGACATATTTCTTAGGGGTGTACATTGAAGGAGGGAAAACCGATTCGATTAACCGAAACCGACGTTGGGTAAGTTAGTTTCACCATCCCATTGTGGTCGGTGGTCAATTTGAGCAATCCCGTTGGTCGGTTGGTGGGGAAATAAACCTCCAAATCGGCCGACCGATATTCCTATATTTAAAATATATATATATATATATATATACCTCTTCCATGTCTCTTTCTCCCTCAATCACCACTCGACAATATATGTCCCTTACTCATGGTTGTTTGTCGCCGATTCTCCGCCCTCAACCATAGCGGAAGCATTTGGTAGCCCCGCCCCATGCCCTCGGTCCCTCATCTCCAGTCGTCCATCACTCTCAGGCGAGTCCTATTTTTCTTTCTCTTTGGCATAAATATATTAATTATCAACTAGAACATAATTCAAATAATCAAAAAGCTTCCAATAAAATGTTAGAGGTCGTTGCCGACCCCACATACTATTGATCTAAAAAAACTCATGTCACACACAACCAAGTGTCAGTAGCATAACTCAAATAATTAAGACATATATTATCGACTAAAAAAATCCTAAGCCAAATATTTTATTATTAGTGAATTGTGCATCCTATCTAATTAAATAAATTAAATTATAGATTAATTACATTGTAAATACTACCCCAATATAACAATTTGAATTTTTCTGGATAGAGATTAAATTATTATAATGTGGAAACAAATTATAAGTTTTAAAAAATAGGGATTATCATGATAAAGATTACATCTCAAGTCGACAACTATTGAGATAACGTAAACCACTTTAGACTTAATTATACACCAAAACTAGCCTTGCACCTTAAACAACTTAATGATTCTTGCGACCATTAATAATGGCTCCCTTAATTTCTTTGAGAATGAGTATATAATATATATTATTATATTATTATGATATAAACATGAGTGTACACACATATCTTGATAACATGGAATCTAAGACACTACAATAGTTATTAAACAACCATTTGCGACGAATTTAATTTAACAACTTATATTACATATATTAAAAGCATTAGACAAACGTTTTACAATTAATTAAACATTTTTTTGAGAATGGATGGGAGGAGAGAGAGAGAGAAGAGGGGGCTTTTTGGGGTTTGGTGGGATGAGAGAGAGAGAGTATATGTTAGCACTGTACAGTGAAAGGGACAACGACAAAGGACAAATTAAAGGACACAAGTTTTTTGTTTGTTTTGGATTTTTAAAAAATGAAAAAGTGGAAAAAAGATTTGAAGGTTGATCGAGAGAGGGTGTGTATATACAAAGTCCCGCGTTGGACAGAAAAAGATATGAACTATTATTTTCACTGTCAATTAATTTTGCGATAGAATTTCATGAATATTGATATAGTATCAAGAATCTAAAAAATTCAAACGAATATCCGATCAAACTATGAGATCCAGTCAAGATCGATGAACAAAAAATCATGATCTTGAAAGCATACGTTAAGGATCGTTGACAAGAAAAAGATATGAACTACTCTTCTTATTGTCAGTTTTATTTTAAGATGGAATCTCGTACATTAATATTGACACCGTTAAATAATGTAATTGTGGTGCTAATTTATCCATAACTTTTTGGCTCTGGTTCTTAGTGTGGATGACGTTGGAACAATGCTCCCTTTTTGTGTTCACCCACTAACACTCCAAAGACAATTTTTTTTTTTTTTTTGAATTTCTATTCAAATGGGCTTTCCATTTTATTCTTTCCTCTCAAAATTAAGATTGCAGAACATGGGTTTCTTGCAACTGAGGATAAAATTTTAATGCTTTTTAGTTTTTAGGTGGAGTCTAAAACCATACCCATAAAAACTTAAGTTCAAATATATAATTTTTCTAACAACCATTTGGATTGGTGTATTCGATCAAAAGTGAAAGTTAGGGATTTGGATTTGTTGTTCTAACAATGAAGTGACCATTGCAATACTAAACGTAGGCAAACAGAGTTGCATCTAATCGAAAATTTGGAAACTATTTTGGCTTGATAGTCAAAATTATATCGTAATTAGGAAAATTTAATATCATTGAAATATTAAATCACTCCAAAATATAAATGCATTCTATCGTGAATTTGAAAACTACCCCACCATAATCTGAGTTTGTAAGGATGGAAGATTGAAAAATGATAACAGATATCTTTTATTACTTTTTTAGAATTTAAAAACTGTCCTACGATAATTTGAGCATTTTGAATATCCTATGTCAAAAGTGCAAGTCAAATATTGTAAGGTAAAATAATAATTAAATAAACTTTATCGAGATACGTGTAAATTAGTCGATATAGGCATGATTATTAAAAGGGAAATGGGGTACCAAGTTGGTGCAAAGTAACCCTTAAAATGAAGGGATAATGCAGAGAAGAGGTAGGTTTTTTGTAGGGTAAAAAAAAGAGAGGTGGGTTTTGGGTGGAAATGGATGAGAATCTTAAAGGGGAATCATCCAGATCCACTGTTATGGGCAAATTGATGTTCACAGAATCATGAATCACAAATCACAACCAACAACCTCCAATTATACTCTTTCAACTTGGGTCTCCATCTTCATGCTTTT